CAGGAAGTCCGCAGTTATCCCGTTTCCTGGCTGTGCCGGAAGAAGGTTAATGCACTTTATTTTGAAAAGTTCCAGAAGAGTTCGTACCGGAGTTTAATGTTGAAATCCATGGCTGGGTCCCAACAGTACCGGGGGATGATTATTTTTATTTTATTCAAATTTTTATTAATAATCATCCTGCCATTCACAGGACACATTTTTCTCTTTCCTGAAAATTAAACTGGATTAGAATAACTAAAAGGTTAATGGGATTCAATATTTCTGAGCAAACGGTGCAATAGGCATGTTCCCTGAATAACATATGGCGATTATGGGGATGATATTAATTATCATTACTTTCAATTACTACACCAAGCAAGGTGCTGTCAGTTAAGGGGAGGCAGGTCCCTGCAGAGAAGCCACCATCCATCACGCCGACGCTTCTTATTTTTCCATCTTGGATCTTACCTTGGATTTCATTTCATCTTTTTCTTACAGGATCAGAATCCAAGAGACTCTCCAGAGCGTCAAGGTTAAGGAGTGAAGTAAGATGTCAGATGTCAGGAGCACAGACCTCATAGATTCTTGCATGTCTTTCAGATTTGACGATTATTCCATTTGCTTTGTCTACCCTGTTTCAACGTTTGCTCCCACCTGACATGAAACATCCATTTCCACTCCATGAAATATAATATAAAGAGGGCTCTCATGAATTGTTTACAGGTCAGAAGCATGTACGCCCATGGCAGCAAGAAGACACAGTCATGTTTTCAGGAAGGGTGTAGTAGATGAACAGTTCTGAGACAAAGATGGGTCAAAACTAACGTCAAGGATTCTGAGGCTTAAATAACCAGCTCACGTATTTTCTAAGGATTTTCTAAATAATTCTTAAATAGAAGACTTTCCATTCCAGCTAAAATTAGCTTCCTAGGCAGAATAGAGTGGCCAGGCTCAGCCAGATACAGGTTGAGGAGTCATCCGGACGGACGTTGCTCCTCCATATCGAAAGGAGCTTTGCCACTGGGAGCAGGATTGGATGGATGGATGGATGGATGGATGGATGGATGGATGGATGGATGGATGCATGGATGGATGGATGAGATCCATGTTAATTAGCTTGATTAAAAATATATTTACACTTTAATTCAATTAGTGATTTTCTTTCAACTTTTGGATGACATGTTTGTATCTATTGAAATTGTAGTGCTGACAAATACGTAAACTCTTGGTCTTTTTAGGATGTATGATATAAATCATTCCCAAAGAAGGTCAAGAATTTAAGACTGATTAATTTACTGATTGATGATACACCAGCAGAATTTAAGCTACCACAAATGAGGGAAACATTAATGCAAATACCAGCAAGGACAGAAACATTTTTTCGTTAAAAAAATATTCTTTTTTTAAAGATCTTTTGTAACTAGTGGCTTTTATTGTGCAATAATCAGGGTGGAAAGAGAAGGGGAAGACATGCAGTGAATGGCCCGAGACCAGGAACCGAACCCAGGACAACCGCGTCGTGGACTATAGCCTCTGCACACGGTGGGCACTCTACCAACTGAGCCACCAGTGCCCCAACACTTATTGTTTTGAATAATGGAATAAAGCTCACCATACTTTGCCTTAAAAGACCCAATTAGTTGGGTATATTTAATGACGTCTCAACATTTATCAGTATGTGACATTAAACCCTTTTACACTTTTGCAACAAAGAAATAGAGAACTGAAAATGTACACGCTTACAGCTCTAAAATGTTGACCAATTAAATGTCCCCTAGGCTACACAGAGTATGAGGAAGTGGGCTGGGTGCTGTAATCTGAGCAGTCAGACGGTTTCAGGGTATTTATTGTGTTGGTCTCACTGGATGAAACATGGCCTGTTGAGTTGGTTAATTTCCTCCTGATGAGCTTGTAGATCACGTCAGCGCTGTACCACCGGGATATGAAAAATGGATGGAGCATCAATTAAGAGGCACTTCGCCGAGGGTTTTATCTGTTGTGGCTTTTTTTTCCTCTGCAGCTAATAGTGTCTGATTGATAGCAATGAACTTGAGCATGAGAGGTATGCATTTCAGATGGACAGATAGAGTATTACAAGGGATTGTTCACTTAAGTGCTTTACTGGAGCCTGTGCATTTGGGGTTATGATGAAGAGCTTTGGGTCTTACTAGGTTGTGTGGATATATTATTAATCTGCTGGGCATTTCTGAAAAGCACAAAATATTGTGAATGCTCTTGTGGGGCTGTAATCTGTTTTTGTCTCCACCACCCTTTTCTGTCTCTATCCTCTCTGTCTTTATCACTCATTTCCTCAGAGGTCTGAGTGAGAAGAGACCAAGAAAAGGGCAGGAGGAGATGATCAGATCAATATTGCTCTCAGGAAACGGCCTTCGACTGTCTGCCTCTTGTCTTTCATATAGCCAGGCATATAGCCATATCATTAGAGCACTGTAGCCAACATCACAAGCTAGCTAGATGAGCAGCTTCTTAGCATGTCAGAGGGTGTATGGCAGGCCTGACCTGGCTTAGTTCTCAGTTGATATGAAATATTTGATAGGAAAATTGAAAAAAGTTGTGTGGCTATTTGTGACCAAACTGACATGGAGATTTTGCAAAGCAATCTTCCTTTGCAGTGTTTGCACCTCCTATGAAAGAACATACTGAGGCATTGGTGAGAAAAACTTAAGCTTTTCCAAACAAATCCCAAATAGAATTTGGCCAACTTAGCACATTCTCCTATCTAGTAATACATTTGCAAAATAACAACCTAATGTTGAGTGCTAGTAACTATGACAATGGGTGCTGTTTTCAGATTGTTTCTGTATTTCTGGCAATATATACTCTGAATGTGTGCAAAATTCAGTGCAACCAAGAGCCTTCTGAATTCACCCAATTAATAAAAAAGAAAGAGTGTAAATCCAGCTGTTCTTTGAAGGCCTCAGAGGCTTGTTAGAGAACTTTAGTGAACATAAAGTATGGTAAAGACCAAGAATCACATCATACAGGTCCAAATCAAAGCTGTGGAGAAGTCTAAAGCAGGCTTAAGTTATAAAATAATATCAAAAGCTTCAAGATATTATCAGAAAATGTCAAGAATATGGCACAACAGCAAACCAAGACATGGCCGACCACCTAAAATATAAGTCTAGGCAAGGAGAGAAGCAGCCAAAAGAACCGTGGTAACTCTGGAGGAGCTGCAGAGATCCCCAGCTCAAGTGGGAGAACCTGTTATAAGGACTCTAAGCACTCCACAAATCTGGCTTTTTTGGAAAAAAAAAGAAGAAAACCATAGTTGAAAGAAAGCCATTAAAAGTCTGATGAAAAGTTTGCTGCAAACCATGCAGAGGACACAGCAAAAAATGTAGAAGATGGTATTCTAGTCAGATGTGACCAAATTGGGCGTTTTTGATCTACATAAAGAAAGCCGTGAGTGATTATAAACTTACACTGCACATCACTATGAACATACCTCCTCCCCAGAACTACAATGGAACTAAAATGGGATATTTTGCAAAGCCAGTAAATGATTCCTCCAGATGGCTTGCAGCTGTAAGTGCAGTGAAAGGTGGTTGCACAAAGGATTGACTCAGGGAGGCTGAATATGAATGCACGCACCACTTTTCAGATTTTTCTTTGTAAAACAATTTGAAATCTGTGCACCCAACATAAAATCTTACTACGGAGGTTTGAGGTAACAATGTGAGAAACTGTGAAAAGTTCAAGGAATTAATACTTCTAAAAGGCACCCTAAGTATAAAACTCAACTGAAATTCAACTATAAGTTTGTCTCATTGGCAAAGATATCAAATTATAATGAAGTCTTCCCCTGGCTTTATATTTTTAGTTATGTATCCCTTAATGCAGAGCAGAGACTTTTCCACATTCCAAAGTAAGCATCAATTTTCTGTCAAGAACACTTCTAAGTTTTGATTGTTGAGGAGATAAACTGGAACCACAAATTATGTGTCCTCTGGAATAGCTTCCTGGTGTCAGGGTTTGGGATTGTATCATGGCAGGATGTATTTTGTCAGATGTTTGTGGTGGAAGGTCACTCCAAAATGACCAAAATGATCACAGGGAATCTCAGTCATGGATTATTTCCCACATTGCTGTTTTTCACCACTGTTTCAGCATATGTTTGCGTGCATGTGTGTGTTTTTGCAAATCTAGTACAGACAATACGTCAGGATTTGTGGCTGTCATTAAGGAGTGCTGCGTTCAGGTGTTTATATTACAGGTTTTGAAATGGTGCATACGCCAGAAACACTCCTAAACCCTATTGTCTCTTTTTGCAAAGCTGTTACCTAAAGATTAGCTTCAATACAGAGGGGTGTGACTATGCAATTGACGCCTGTCCAATCCAGGGTGACCTGGCAATGAGAACCAGCCAACCACTGCTCCCAGATCCCTGCAGTCTGCCAAAGGGACCTCACATGACTGGACCAACTGTCACCACACATGCTCCCCTTAAAATCTGCCCATTTGTGTCAAAGAAACAATTCATCTGTTTATTATCACCTGAGAGGAAGAAGATGTTCCCCTTTTTGTGACTGTCTATTGATCTGCTCAGAATCCTTTGCGATTTCTGTTTTTTTCCACAGTGCACAGACAACCTTTGTGTTTAGAGGGTTAAGTGGCTCAATCCACAGCTTGCTGAGCTTCAAAAATTCCCCTGATGGCAAGGAATTTTTGCAGAACCCTTACCTTTGTCGTTCTCCCTGCTTTCTCCTAAGATAAAAGCGAAAAAGAGTTCCCGCGTTGCTCAAAATAAAAAAAAAAATCCCTCTACTTCTCACAGAAGATTTCCCACAGGTGCACAAACATCATCGCCCTCTTTGTTGCAGCCCCGCACTGACCCGAGTGATGGCTTTGTGTTTTATGTCGACAGCACCTGGCCATTTTCAGCTTCATTTGTTTCTAAATACAGCAATCCTGCTCTGGATATTCACACTACATTAACCTCACGAGTAACAGCAAACAGCCTGTTTGTTTTGGACATAAAGTAAAGAACATCTTGGCTTTAGTCGGATCACTTCTTAAGAAATATCCACATTCAGGGCAAACCTGCAGCGCTTTTGTTCCAAGCTGCACACATGCAGACCCCTAGTGTTTTTTTTAAATGCAACCACTCTTTGTTTTTAATGACTTGCTTGATTTCCTTCGTGTTTGTTTGTGGGGAATTGCAGTCCCTTTCAAAGGTATTCCTCATGCCCCTTGAACTTTTTCACAATGTGTCATGCTACAACCACAATATTCAATGTCTTTTACTGGGATTTTATGCAATAGGCCAACACAGAGGAAATCTTACTTCGAAGTGGAATGAAATTGATAGGATAGTGATTTTCCATTTTTTTTTATTTTACAAATAAAGATTTTAAAAGTGTGTTGTGCTTTTACTGCAGTTGAAGCTTCAAATCATTTGGAGGTTTGTCTCTATCATACAGGTCCTTCTCAAAATATTAGCATATTGTGATAAAGTTCATTATTTTCCATAATGTCATGATGAAAATTTAACATTCATATATTTTAGATTCATTGCACACTAACTGAAATATTTCAGG